CCCCCACAAGGTCTGAGGGACAGTGGACTGGCCCCTTGCTGAAAAAGTTTGCTGGCCCCTGCACTAGAGCAATGAAGGGGAGACCCTCACAAGAGGGGAGAGGGCTCTTGTGCTCCGGTCCTGCTTATGAGGTTCCCACATGCATCTCCTTGCTACTTCAATAACAGAATGCTGGAGTTGATGGGCCATTGGCCTGATCCAGTAGGCTCCTATTATGTTCTTATGTGGAGCTGGACACAGAGACATGCATTGCTCTGTGCTGGATCCAGGCAGAAAGACTCTAGAACCCTGTCAGAGCCTTCATGTCTTCTTCCCAAATCCCAGCACCATGCTTACTTGGCTTACAAGGGCTGGGGGGGGGTGAGCTTTACCCCACATGCTAAATTTCTGGAAGGCAAATGAAGGCATATATTTCACATTAATGCTCTCCTCCTAAACATGTTTCCTCTTATATGTTTTGTGTTTCAAAAAAAAAGGGGGGGTGATAACTGCAAAATATTTCCTTCACCACCACTAAAGTAATAGAGAATTGTGGCAAATTGCAGATGTTCCAATTCTGGAATTAATGTTAAAAATTCTCCCAAGTTAACCTGAAAGTGAGGGACGAAGGATGGGTGTGTCTGTGGGGGTTAAATGGGGAATATCCGCTCACCCCGACCCTCCACTCAGGGTTCTGCAACACTGTCAGTGACCTGATCCTCCTGGAAAAGCATCCAGTTCAGCCCCATGAATCATTTGCTTTCACGGGGTCCAGATATATTCAATAAAACATCAGGGCTCACAGGCTTAATTTACAACTCTCAGTCTAGCAGAGTCAGTGTTTGCACTGCCTTTGCTTGCTTTGCAATCAATAACATTTTGGGGCATTAGCCTTAAGGAATGTTGCTAATTGCCTCAAATTCTCTGCAGAGAAGGTTAAGCAAGATGGAGAAAGTACAGACTCAATTAAATGACATCAGAATATTGGATTTTTTTTAAAAAAAATATTCACTCCATTATTCATCGGCAGTTACGCCACTTTAGAAGCTTCTGCAAATATACAAAATAAAAGGAAGAGCAAGAGGCCATAAGGAGCCAAGCGAAAGACAAGTTATTGAGATGAGAAGTCCAGAAGACCCGCTGGTCTGTGAGCCAAATTAGGACTGGCAGGAGTCCTAATTCAGTCTGCAAATCTGCTTTCCCTAAAATGCACACCCTGCACTCAAAGATGCAGCTGCAAAGGAACTATCAGGAGTCTTAAAGCATGCTCCCAATTATTCCTTGACAGGCAAGGATTGCTGTCAGAGCTGATCAACCGATGGGCACTGACAGCAAGCTCTGCTGAGACAAAGAACTCTGCAGCTGATCCCTGCCCAAAGTTGGGTTTGCCGGAAGTGCACGTAGCGTAGGGCTTGCTGTAAGCTGATATTTTTTGTTTTGTTTTGTTTATTAATTTTTATTGAATGGTTTTATGTTACAAAAAACAATACAGCCATACTACCACTAAATATGATTAAGAAATAAAAATTGCATACATCGATATTTAGTTTGTTATTTGTTATTTACCGTCTTATTTCCTCCCAAACATTGCATACAACAACACACATATGTGCAGAAACCCACACACCCACACCCGCTCAGAAAATAATAATAATGAAAGTAAATCTTTTTCCCCCTTTTATCTTCCAAAATCTTTTCTTCAACTTTGACTCCCTGTCAAGTCCCTTTACATATGTTTTATCTTATATTCGAATGTACACAAAACAATAAACCTTTCTATATAATTTTTCTAATACATTCTGAAAACATAATAAATCCTTAATTGTAGTCCACCTCCTTTTAGTTCCTTTATCACTCGAATGCTAGCACGGAGTCAAAACTATTATTGTATTTTTGAACATATTTTTTATAAACATCCCATTTTTCCGCTAAGTTTTGCTTTGAGTTTCCTCTGAGTTTCCTAGTCAGTTGAGCCGTCTCCACCAATTCCTGTAATTTGATTTGCCAATCTGTTATTTTTGGAGTGCTGTAAGCTGATATTGTGGCTTGCCTCAGGTGCTGCGTAAGTGTTAAAATTGACTGGGGGGGGGGGGGAGCTCACCAGATCACACCAGACTTCACAATGACACCAGGTGATTTACAGGTGAGCAGCAGGGGAGTGGAAGGAGCTGTGGGATATCATGAGGAGGAGAAGGAGCTCTAGGGTTGGCTGGGTACAAGGCGTTATGGGGAGTAGCAGGAGCTGGGGGGTGAGCTGTAAAGGGTAGGGAATAGAGAAAAGGGCGAGGGGTTAGGTGGGGTTGGTGCGCAATGAGAACGGGGCAGCACTGAGAATTGCATGCTACATTTCTGCTTTCTTATTTGAAAATCAACAAGCCCCTTGGAAGTTACGGAAAACGGAGGTGTAAATTCTCGATCAATATGTTTATCCTTCCATTTGCCGGTAAGCCCCACAGCCATCTCCTCTTATCACAGGAGGTACAGCAGCCTGATCAATAATAAAACATCAGCAGAGGGGATTGCTGCACAGAGCCACGCGGAGGAGCGAGCTCCCTCTTAATCCCTGGCAAAAAAGTAAAATAAAACACCCATCCTTTGCAACCTCCTTCAGCAATTCAAGTGATTAAGCAACGATTCCCTGTAATTTAATGCACGGGTATAATTAAAGCGCTGTAATACATTCACGTATCAGTAACTCAGTCATGAACCTGCAACTCCCATCTAGAAAGATTAAATTCATTACAGCCGACAGATGCACCCTGAGCAGCCATCTGAACCTAACAGACCTCCTTTAACTACCCTCCTTTGATCAAGTGTTAAAAGGCTGCGAGAGCATCAAAGTACACTTCCGGAACTGGGAAGCAGAGTTTGAATCTCTTCCCATTGTTAAGAAGGAGAAGAAGGAAGAAGCTGTTTAAAAACGTAACAGGGGAGGATGATGTGTGCATAACAGCTGCTCAGTCAGGAGAGCCAGTGTGGTGCAGTGGTTAAGAGCGATAGACTTGTAATCTGGTGAACCGGGTTTGATTCCCTGCTCCTCCACATGCAGCTGCTGGGTGACCTTGGGCTAGTCACACTTCTTTGAAGTCTCTCAGCCCCACTCACCTCACAGAGTGTTTGTTGTGGGGGAGGAAGGGAAAGGAGAATGTTAGCCGCTTTGAGGCTCCTTCAGGTAGTGATAAAGCGGGATAACAAATCCAAACTCCACCTCAGTCTAGGCCCCAGAATGTAGCTGGGGAAAAGGGATTATGCAATGGGCTACCTGTTCTTGAATTGTGAATCAGTTAAGATCAAATGTGTTCTTGAAAGCAACATATTCCTCTGATTCTGGAAATACGGATTTAGCTGTTTGATTTGGAGATATCGCATTGATTTAGGGGTATAATGGTCTGAATTAGGGATGGGGAGAATTTTTCTTCTTCTGCATTTTAATGAGGAGCTACCCAATCTGCACTTCTCAAATCAAAATGTGAATGGAAACTCAGCTATGATTCAACATTTGAACTTCTTCTGCAACGCCACTCCCTGGCCCAGTAATGTGTACCAGGTGTGTATATTTTAGGGGGAAGGGTGCATGAAAAGGCATAAATAGGTGAAAAGAGCTTGCAGAATGCATTACACTGGGGAAATTTGCTTGCAAAAACATGTGTCAAAACTGCATATTAAAATGTGTTGGGGGGTTGTACCAAAATGCTAAGAGATTTTCATAATGATTATTATTATTATTTTAATGCAGATTGCTTCAGGAATGTAGAGAACTGAATTTAAGATTGTAAAAGAAAGAGAGAGAGAGAAGCAAAGGGAAGCAACATTGACAAATTCATCCATCCTTTGTCTGAATGTTCTACTGTTCCCCTTTTGTGATGGCCACTGTTTTATATCAAGCTTTGGGGTATGACTGGCTAAAACAGGGTGAGGTGAGGCTTGCATGGTTCATTTACTCCTCTCTCATAATTTAAATTCTAGGGAGTCCCCAGAGGATTGGGCCAAAGCAGTATGGTACAGCCTGGAAAGTGACTAGCAGTGCCTAATGGTGCCATATTTTGAAGAGCAAAAAAGAGGATGCTATGACGTCCATTCAAAGCAAATAAATGCAATTTGTCTCGAATTTTACCCCTGAAAAAGAGGAGCTGTCCTGGAAAAAGAGGACACATGGCAACCCTAGTGCTGCAGGCTGATGTCATCCTCACTGGGTTCTCCTGGCCACTTTCCATCCAGCATATGCAGCATCCAGCCACCATCCAAGTGGCATCCAAGGAGTGCATTCTGACCCCACGACATGCACCACTATTTGCAGGTGGACACTATTCCTGTGTTGTTATGGCCATGAGTGTATATATATATATCACTTTTATCACCCTCTATGGCTTGAAGCCAAACTGCACCTCGTGACACAGTCCATGTTGGGTTGGAAGCCTTGTTGAAGCCACTCCAGATTCCCACAGATCTTTAAAAAAAAAAAAAACCCCAGTGCTGAGCTGAACCTTCACAGCACTTTTTTTGACCATTTTGTGATAGGTGGAGGCAAGTCTTTCTCAAAGGGTAAGGTGGGCTGTGTTTTCCTGATTTAAGTTAATGAGGTGACCAGGGGGTCTTTTCAGACCAAACACGCCTTGGTAGCCCAGAACTAGCTCAAAGCTGTGTTTTCCAAAGGTGCCAAGTTCAACTTCACTTCCTTGAATGGTCATGTGATGTCTGCAGGCTCAACTACATCTGCCAGCTACCATCCCTCTGTTTCATAGACTCCTAAAGCTGGAAGGGATCTTGAAGGTCACCTGGTGCAACCTTCCCTGTTCATTGCAGAGTCTGTAATGCATGATACCGTACATCCTTGACAGAGAGCTATCCACTCCACCAGTAAAGGAAGGACTTATAGCAACATCAAAGCCTTTTCAAGGGTTGTGTTCTAGTTCACATCAACAGGATTTAGCCGCAGACTTCAAGCTGCCTTCCTCCCCCGTCCCCCCCACCAGCATCCCTAATATGCACGAATGATAAAAAGAAAAATGGGGTGCACTTACTACAATTACAAACAGAGCTGGGGCCACAAAAGCCCAGATTGTGCCATTCTTCAGCGAAAGCCAGCAGCTGTAGAGAGAAAGCAGAAGGCTTACAAGCTTGCTCAGGACTACGTATTCAAAACGCTAAGAGCTGCATCCAGCATTGTCTTTCCCCTAGTACAAGGGCTCTTGTGCTAGCGGATGGGTGAGTTTTAATGTTGCACAACAGAGGAATCCAACACAACAGCAGAAACTGGCAACACAGCTAGCAGAATCTCAGGCAACAGATTGCACAGCCCATTGCGCAACAAAGCAACCTGCTTATGCAACAACATCCCGCTGGTATAAAACATTTCACTAGGGGACAAGTATACCGCAAAATGACTTTTGACTTAGTACTACACTGGATGCAACTCCAGGTTCTTAATGTTCAGGGCCAGCCCCATCTTAAGCCATACTGAGCCACATGAGTCTGGTGGTGGTGGTTATTATTATTGCAAACACAGCCCCCACAGTGATGAATCTTCCATCCCTTCTTTAACACACTGGCCATAATACTATAAACATGGATTTACAGCATAGGCAAACTCGTCCCACCAGATGTTTTGGGACTACAACTCACATCATCCCTAGCTAACAGGACCAGTGGTCAGGGATGATGGGAATTGTAGTCCCAAACATCTGGAGGGCCAGGGTTTGCCTATGCCTGTGTTAAGCCATGGGAACAGGGTCACTAGGGGGTAGACCTATTGATTCCCCCTTCCTGCACAGCAGTTTGGGGTGGGCTTTCACTCAGACAGATACATCACAGGTGGGAAGCAGCAATTGCCTCTATTGACATGTCTCCAGGTGGTGGTGCTGGGGCAAATATACAGAAACACATGCAATTTGTCATTTGTTTGGCAGCTGAACTGGATAACATGTCATTCATCAAAGAACAACTTGCTGTGAGCATTACTTTTTCAAAGAGCAAGGGGAGGGGGGAGGGGAGTAATCCAGATTCTCTCTTCCAGCTGTCAGCAAAGAAGAGGAGGCAGTATGTGACTTATTTATAATTCTTTCAGATGTAAATAGAGACGGGGAGGAGAAATTCTGTTCAATTCACATTTTAATGCAAATGTATCTAATTCACATTTGTGAACCAAAACACAACTATTCTCCCCACCACCACCAAAACCTTGCTCTTTTGCTCTTTTCCATATGTTGCAATGCAGTTGTCCAATCAAAAAGAAGTCTTCAGAAAAGTGTGCAAAAAAATGCATACATTGGTGAAAATAAAATACCCAAATGCATTATGTTAGGGAAATTTGTTTGCATAATGTGTCTATTAAGCAAAGTTGCTAAGCAATCTCCCTTTTAAAAATGCATTATTGTATGCTGTTTTCGCTAATATAGTCGTTTTTATGCACAATTTATCCTAGTATGGGCATTGTTTACACATTACTTGGCTGGAGAACTGGGCTACAAAATTCAGAGAAGTGTGAGTGTAGAAAAATGGTTGTGTTTCAGCTTGCTTGTCGTTCTGGAAAGTACAAATTAGGTAGGTTCATCTCTAAATGTGAACTGAAGTAAATTTCTCCTCCAGTGGGTCTAAGACCCTTCTTATTCTCTTCCCTCTTTTTGTCTTTGTCCTTCAAGTGGAGAGAGAGAAAGAGGCTTCCCTCTCTTTTCATGGTATGGAAGTGGCTAGAAATAAGCTTTTCTCCAACTTAAATGCCAAATGTGGGGACTATCCAATGAACCAGATCAGCACGTGATTGAGATAAGATGACGTGCTTCTTCACACAGTGCAGAAGCCCTTTGTGAAATCTGCTGCCACAAGTTGTGGACGGCCATCCTGACTTGGCCCCAGACACACTGATTAGATGTTTGGAAGCTGTGGCTGGATGGTTACATGAGAGCCGGTTGAAGATAAATCCTTCAAAGACAGAGGTCCTTTGGCTGGGTCGGGACGATATGGGATCGGGGGGCCAACTCCCATCTCCTGCGGGGGCACAATTAGTGCCAGCGCCGTCTGTTAAGAGTTTGGGTGTAATCTTCGACACCTCCCTTTCTATGGAGGCGCAGGTTGCAGCTATAACAAAGGCGGCATTTTTTCATTTCCAAAAAGCTAAGCAGTTGGCTCCTTACCTCTCTCGCCCTGACCTAGCCACTGTGATCCATGTGACGGTCACCTCCAGGCTTGATTATTGTAACTCACGCTACATGGGGCTGTCCTTGAGACTGACCCAGAAACTCCAGCGGGTGCAGAATGCCACGGCGAGACTCCTTACGGGGTCCTCGCTGTGAGATCACATTCACCCGATGCTATACCAGCTGCACTGGCTCCCGGTGGAGTACAGGATCAGATTTAAGGTGCTGGTTTTAACCTTCAAAGCCCTATACGGCCTAGGACCCTCGTACCTACGGGGCCGCCTCTACTGGTATGTCCCATGGAGGGCCTTACAGTCTTCAAATAAAAACATCTTGGAGATCCCGGGCCACAGGGAGGTTAGACTGGCCTCGACCAGAGCCAGGGCTTTTTCGGCCATGGCCCCGATCTGGTGAAACGCTTTGTCACAAGAGACTAGGGCCCTGCGGGACTTGACACCTTTCCGCAGGGCCTGCAAGACAGAGCTGTTCCATCAGGCCTTTGGCCAAGGCACAGTCTGACCCCCTTTCTCCTTCTGTAATCCTTATAGAACTCTAACCCAATGGTTGCCATTAATTTGATTCTGAATTGATTTTAGAATGTATTTGAATTAATTGACTGTGTGATTTTATGTACTCAGTGCTATATTTACCTGTTGTTAGCTGCTCTGAGCCCGGCATTGGCCGGGGAGGGTGGGATACAAATAAAATTTGTTGTTGTTGTTGTTATTGTGTTGGCATTACAAAGACATTAGATATATTTGGGAAGGAAGGCCTGTCAATGGCAAGCAGACATGATATGGCTCTATACTACCTCCAGGATCAGAGACAGCAAGGGCTGTTAGCCTTCATGTCCTGCTTATGTAGGCATGTAGGCACCTCTAGTTGACCACTGTCACAAAGAGGGTGCTACTTGATAGGCCTTTGGTCTGGTGCAGCAGGGTTCCTCCCCAACCAATTGTTTGAACTTGGTTTGTGTCAGTCACATTTCAACATGGAATGGATATGCTTGACTATGGACAGTTCAAGGGTAGAATCAGTAACCCTCAAATCTGTGTATTACTGCTCCATGGGGTGAGCTTCTGCAGGGATATAGTTGGAATGCTTCCTGGACAGGAAAGGATACATGGACTCCTCTGTTCAGGAAGGAGCTTACTGTTCAGGCTGAGAAATTGCCTGGGCAACGGTGGTGTGAAACAGCTGTGGCAGGTTGTCCAATGCCCACCCACTGTTGGACACAAACAGTTCTTCTATGTTTCAGAACTTACTTGTCTTCTCCATAGCTTTCCACAGCTGACGTTACTGAGATGACACAGAGCAGCAGTGGACAGCCTGCAAAATTCAAAAGGAGAAGGAGAAGAAATTTGTTAGACCAATTTATTCATATATGCAACTACAGCAGCAAGAATGTTAATTGCCCCAAAGTGGAAAGAAACAGAAGTCTCAGTAAAGGAAGAAAGGATACAAAAATTGTTGGACTATTCAGAAATGGCGAAACTTACCAGAAAAATAAGAAATCAAGGTAACAAACCTTTTATAAAAGAATGGAAATGGTTTATTGAATATTTACAGATAAATTGTAAACAGATAAAAACATTAGCAGGATTATTGTAATAACCTGCAGTCTTATAAGAGTATATATTTACAGTAGATAATTAAATGAGTAAGTCAAATGAATTTAGATATGCAGAAGATACTGAAAAATAAATTTAAGGAACCGCAGGAAGAGGGGGAAGGAAGTCAAATTTTGAAATGTGAAATTTATTGTAAACCTAATGAAATGTATAAATTTGAAAAGCATAAATAAAAAACTAAAAGAAAAGAAAGGAATTTGTTAGACCATTCTTTCTTCTTACTGAAGAAAACAACAATAACAGAATAGACTTGCTTCCTCTAATTCCTTTCTGTCACAAGCAGGCTTACATGTACCATGTCAGTACAAAGTCTTATCAAATCTATCTATCTATCATCTATCTATCTATCTATCTATCTATCTATCTATCTATCATCTATCTATCTATCTATCTATCATCTATCATCTATCATCTATCATCTATCATCTATCATCTATCATCTATCATCATCTATCTATCTATCTATCTATCTATCTATCTATCATCTATCTATATCTATCTATCTATCATCTATCTATCATCTATCTATCTATCTCTTATACCCTGCCTTTTTGCCTGACAGGGACTCAAGACAGCTTACAGATAAACAGAACAGCTAAAACATAGGGGGGATCGTTAAAAACAATTAAACACTGATAGAATCTAAACTATATATTTATGCATAAAAATCTATTCAGACCATACAACTAATTACAATACAAATAGCACTGCATCAGTCCTTTCATAGAAGGACAAAATCCACAGGTGGCTGGTGCCCATTGGGACTGGTGGGGTGGAAAGCAGGGAGCCCCACCTGCAGATGAGGCCACAGACAGGCAGACAATTGATTCTGTCTGTCTCCCCGTCTTCCTAGTTCTACAATCGCAGCACTCGCATTAAGGAGGAGGAAGCCAATGGGAAGTCACCACCAAATGAAATGGTTGAAAGTCAGAAAACAGGCAGATGAGGACTGGCTGAGGGCAGACGGAGGTTTGTGGAGCAGTGCCCCATTTGCCCTATTCAGTGGCCCCCTTCTGAAGTTCATTTTATTTTGTTATTATATTCTAATCCCACTTTTTCCTCCAAGGAGCTCAAGGTGGCATACGCCCTTCTCCCCCCTCTCCATTTTATCCTCACAAGAAGCTTGTGGAGTAGGTTGGGCTGAGGGACAGTGACTGACCCAAGGTCACCCAGTGAGCTTCATGGCTAAGTGGTCTCAAAGGGTCTACTCCCACACTCTAACCACAACTGCTGGGGAAGGTTAGTGGCTCAGGATGAAATCTTATACACATTTACACGGGAGTAAGTCTCATTGAAAGGGATGCGGGTGGTGCTGTGGTCTAAACCACTGAGCCTAGGGCTTGCTGATCGAAAGGTCGCGGTTAGAATCCCCATGATGGGGTGAGCTCCCGTTGCTCTGTCCCTGCTCCTGCCAACCTAGGAGTTCGAAAGCACGTCAAAGTGCAAGTAGATAAATAGGTACCACACCAGTGGGAAGGTAAACGGCGTTTCCGTGTGCTGCTCTGGTTCGCCAGAAGCGGCTTAGTCATGCTGGCCTCATGACCTGGAAGCTGTACGCCGGCTCCCTCGGCCAATAAAGCGAGATGAGCGCCACAACCTCAGAGTCGTCCGTGACTGGACCTAATGGTCAGGGGTCCCTTTACCTTTACCTTTAAGTCTCATTGAACTGAATGGGATTCATGTCTGCATAAAAGAAGATCCTCAGTAAAGTGTGGAGAATTCAGTTACAGAGGTACAAGAGTACACAATCCGAAACTCACAATCTGAAATTCTGAAACTCACAGGGACTTTGGAAGCAAAGGAAGTCTAGCAGTCAATGTAAAAGTAGCGATGGAAGAAGTGGACACACACTGCTAGTCTAATATTTGGGTTTAGTTTTTGGGGTTTTTTCTGCAAGGGAGATTAAGGGCTTTTTTGCAATTATGAATATATATATATATATATATTCAATCCAAGTACCAAGCATAAAATTTGCAATGATACCTCTGGAATCCAAATGTAGCACCTGATATCCTGCCCTTCTGACTGTTCATTTTTCTTCTATTCATTGTTAGTGGATAATGCTAATAGATAAAATGACACACATATTTTACCAGGGTTTGAATAATTCGGAACTGCATTATTGTATAAATAAGTAAGAGAGAGAGAGAGAGAGAGAGAGAAATCGTTAACATTTCTTTTTAAATAATCAGAATGCAAATTTTAAAACTAGCTGCAACAATTTTGAGGCAGTATAATAATGTTACAGAAATGCTTTGGGAAAGTGAATGTTAAGGGAGCTTGAATGAATTATAGCATTTTGAATATAATCTTCTTATATTTCCTAATATGATTTCTATGTATTCATTCTTGAAGGCACGTTTCCTCTCCAAAAGAGCTTATACCCCAAATACAACTAGATCTTCTAAACAATAAACAAACAAACAAAAAAGCCTTTCAGTACTTCTGACAGCTATAGTCTGCAAGAATCCTCTATTTTCGCAAGCCTGTCTACCAGCAATGAAAAGAGGTCCCATTTTCATTATTTGGGGCGGGGGAGCTTTGACTTAGATCCTCAACCTTGATCCTCCAGATGTGTTTAGCCTACAACTCCCATGATCCCTAGCTAGCAGGACCAGTGGTCAGGATGATGGGAATTGTAGTCTCAAAACAACTGGAGGGCTGAGGTTGAGGAAGCCTGACTTAGATGGAAGTGACTTCAATGGCAGCTGTGCTTCCCAGTTCCTCACCTGCCCAATGTGCAACCACTGGCAGAGGAAGAGGAGTGCGGGGGTCTCCCGGCAACGCAATCCCAGTGGGGTGCCATCACGGCTGCTCCCCTCCCGCGCTGGGCGCCACACCCCCACAGGCAGTGCGCCACACCCCCAGGATGCACACCATGTCCCTGTGGGCAGAGCACCATACCCCCAGGATGTGTGCCAGCCCCGCCCCCACCTGCTCTCCATCCCCAGTGCCAGAGCATGAAGCTCTGCCACTGCATGCAACATATATTTCCTCCGCTCACCCATACAGAGTGAGGGCAATGTGATACAAGAAGCACTGCCTTCACTTTTAATTGACTTCTTTTGCCTTCCGTGCTACCAGCAGGAAAAATCTGATTGGCCGTTTGGCACTGTGATGACATCATGTTCACAGCTTTCTGGCCAATTGGCTGAGACCACATTGTGGAGAAAGAAGCAGCTCTGGGGGAAGAAAAATATATATTCCTGAAGTGGCTGCTTAGAGAAACAATGCTGTGTTACTGGCCCCTTGGCTCCATTAGGCAACCCCAGATGCAAAAGGAGGAGGAGGAGGTAAGAGGGAGGAAGGAACTGGATGGTGGGTACTCAGGGATAGAGGAGAGAGATCCTCCTCAGGGCTGGATTTAGGTTTGATGAGGCCCTCAGCTACTGAGGGTAATGGGGTCCTTTATATGTCCAGCTGTCCTTTGTCAACAACAAATTGTCGCTGTTTTTTGTGTTGAATATATGCTATATGGTAATTTATGGACCTAATAGGTATCTAAAGGACATGGGTGGCGCTGTGGTCTAAACCACAGAGCTTGCCAATCAGAAGGTTGGTGGTTCAAATCCCCGTGATGGGGTGAGCTCCCGTTGCTCGGTCCCTGCTCCTGCCAACCTAGCAGTTCAAAAGCACGTCAAAGTGCACGTAGATAAATAGGTACCACTGCAGCGGGAAGGTAAACAGCGTTTCCACGCGTTGCTCTGGTTCACCAGAAGCGGCTTAGTCATGCTCACCACATGACCCAGAATCTGTACACCGGCTCCCTCGGCCAGTAAAGCGAGATGAGTGCCGCAATCCCAGAGTCGTCTGCGACTGGACTTAACAGTCAGGGGTCCCTTTACCTTTACCTTAATAGGTATCTAAAGCTATTAGCGCATAACAAAATGTGTATTTTATCAAAGTAATTGTTGAACTGAAATACAATTAAGAAGTAGTATATTAATAGTGAAATACAATTAAAAAGAAATATATTTTTTGGAGGGCCCCCAAGAGAGTGGAGCACTAAGCTTTAGCTTGTTTAGCTTATACATAAATCCGGCCCTGATCCTCCCCTTTAAATGTGAGGAAGGAGCTCTGACTCCAGAACCCTCCTGCAGAGGGCCTGGACTCATCACAGGGAGAGCAGGACTTCAACCAGCTAGAGGGAGGGGCTGAACAGGAGAAGCTGGTAGTGGAGCAGCAGGAGAACGTAATAACATGAGAAGAGCCTGCTAGGTCAGGTGATGGTCCATCTAGTCAAGTTTCCTGTTTGCACAGTGGCCAATCAGATGCCTATGGGAAGCCAGCAAGCTTGATTTGAGCACAAGAGGACTTTTCCCTGCTATGGTTTCCAACAACTGGCATTCGGAAGCAGTCTTGCTTCTAACTGTGGAGGCAGAGGACAGCCATCATGGCTAATGGCAGTGACAGTCGTGTCGCTGAGAACCAGGTGCACCAGTCCAAGCACCAGCATGTGTGTTTGGGCGCAGAAGACTCATAGAGCGAGAAAGTCCCATACGTGAGCTCGCCCCACCTCATCTTTAAAAGTTTGGTCGTAGGGGTATATCTGTTAGAATTCCTGCTCCGTGGTTGTAGTCATGGGATTGTTGTCTTTCACATGACTCCACAGAGTGGGAAGTGATGGAAACAGGATGTTTGTTTTTCTGTGTTCCGTGAAGTAGGACTATTGTCCTTTGTTCTTTTCTCTTTGCTGTC